GATTCTAGCACAGTTCCTAGCATATAGAAATGTGTCACTAAACACTTTTAAAGGTATATGTGCCATTTATGTTTGCTTCTAAGTCTTACTAAGTTTTTGGATAATTTTCTCCAGATTTTACTCCTCTTCTATCTCCCATCCTGAAACAAATAATATAAGTTGAATATTCCTTACTCAAAATGCTTTAGACCTAAAGTGTTACACACTTTTGTTTTTAAGGTTTTGGAATATTTCCATAGGTTTTACTGTTTGAGCATTCTTAATCTGAAATCTGAAATGATCTAAGGAAAATTTAAACCTAATTTTCATTGTTACAGTTACTTGGTGGAAAAGTATACTAGTTAGGCTTAAAATTGTACTATAAAGTCAGTTTTTTTTTTTAGGGTTTTTTGGTACTAGACATAAAAGTGTTTAGATTTTTTATTTTCTACTTTAAGGAAGGGTCTACAGGATGTTCAGGGTCTCACTACTAGATTGGACTCATAGTGATCCGCCTGTTTACAGCCTCCAAAGAGCTGGGCTTACAGGCGCGCGCGCTACCACACAGGCATACCACCACACCCAGTGTCAATTGCCATCTCAGTGTGCCCCCGGGGTGGGCCAGCATGGCAGGCCCAGGGATCAAAACCCCAGCCCCTATGCCTGCTTGCAGGTGCTTTAATCCTCTGAGCTATTTGGCTGGCCCTCAGAGTGTTTAGATTTTAAGCAACTTTACATACTTATTTTGGTAGCTTAAGAGCTAACTGGAAGTTAAACAAGTGCTTATGGTATCTTGATACTGAATTTCAATCATCATTATCATAAGCCACACTGTTCTTTCCTAGCAGTTTTGCTAGCATATTGCAGACATAGTCTAGATGAGCTTTTCAATTTTCTCACCGTCTAATAAGTAATAAGGTAAGTACAACTATTTCCCCCATGAACTGAGACACAAAGAAACCATAGTAACTAGTAAATTAAAAGCTAGGATTTGCTTGAAGGTGATTGGACTTCAAAATTTGTGCTTTTAGCTCTTATTCACCTTTCAGTACTGAGTAAGTTCATCAGGGCATTCCAAAGGTATAAGGCCAGCTGGGTGTGGTGGCACATACCTGCAATCCCAGCCCTCGCTTAGGAGGTGGAGCCAAAAGGATCACTGGGAATTTTAAGCCAGCCAGGGTTATAAAGAGAGTTCAAGGCCTGCCTGAACTACATAGCAAGACCTTGCCTCAAAAAACAAAAAAGGAATACATTCATGATGTTTTGTCCAGACTAATGTCCCTCAGAAATGTATTGTGAACCTTGTTTTTATTGGAAAGCTAGCTGTACTTTGAAAAAAAAAAAAAAAAGGATTTCCTCTCAAACTTCTGAACTGTAAATGGTAAAGGTTTTTAAATTATGCAGAAGTTGGTGAGGGTACCGTATTCCTTATTTGGGGATTTAGGCTCCTCTTCTGTGGGGTTCCTTACTGTTGGACTCCTGCACTGGACTCTGCATGAAGGCAGAAGGAAAATACACATGCAGTCAGGTTGGGCAGCAGCTCCAGTCACGTGGACCTCAGGAACTGGTTTCACAGAAGACAGTTCTTCCACAGACCTAGAGCAGGGGATTTAAAAACCTGTTGTTTTTTAATGTATTTACACAGGGTCTACAGGGTCTCATTACACAGATGGGACTCATAGTGATCATCTTGTTTTCAGCCTCCCAAGTGCTAGGATTACAGGTATGCCCAGTCTCAGTCCCGTCTCAGCACACCAGGATCGAACCTTGGTGCTGTGCCTGCCTAAGCAATTAAAAACTTTTAAAAATTTGTGATTTCTTAGGTTCTTTAAAAAATTTTTTTTACTGGTATATGTTTGTGATACCAGTTCGATTCTCTAGCACTAACAGCACTGCCTCAGTTCCACCTGTGGTCCTCAGAGTCTGCCTCCTAGCTGTTGTTCCTCTGACAGGAGGCAGGGCTCCTGTGACGTGAGGGTTGGCAGTAGCTAGAAGGACAGGTGCCACTGCTCACCTCCTGCCCCACAGCCTGCTTCCTCACAGGCCACACCCTGGTCTGGAATAGTGTGGTCAGTGGCCCTGGGGCTAGTGACCCCAGAGTTGAACACCCTTACAAGCTAGGTAGTCGTCTACATCTCATAGTTCTTTATCCACAACTCAGCCCCAGAGCCACACCTAACTCAGGGCAGCCTAGGAAAGGCAGTTTAGTTGCATACCCAAGAAGAGACATGAATGAGTTCGGGAAGCAGCTAGCCAGTCCCTGCCACAGTTAACAAAACACACATCCCAAAGGACTTCGAGATTGTACATGGTTGGGAGTTAGATTGTCTTGTGTAGCCATTAACACAGCAAAAGTACAGTGAGTCCCCAAATCTGATTAGAGCAGAACTTGCTCGTGGGTCGAGGACTTACTGTGTTCCTTCCAAAGTACTTACTGGTGGGCTATTGGTATGGCATAGCTGGCAGAGTGCTTGCCTGCATGAGTCAGGTACTGTCTCTGTCTGGACCACTTGCTGCCCTGATCAGGAGCTGGGTTTTTGTAAGTTATACTTTTCTCTATGAACAAGATTTTCATGTCAGCTACATCTTTGTATGGCAATAGTTTTTAAGTAGTACATGGTACAGCAGAACCTGCCGAGACAGAAAACACTAGGCCTGTTAAGCTTTTATTTATTTATTTATTTGTGCAAAATTTTTTTTTAAAGTATTCTCAACTAAACACACAAATTTATTACAAACTCAACCTTTCACAAAACAGTAGAATACATTGTAATGTAATTATTTGCTACTTCATAACAGACATGACCTGTCCCCTTCTGGATTCCTCATGTCCAGCAGGGTCCTCACTAGAAGCACTTTATTTTTTTTTCCATAAATTTATTGAGAAACAAATAGCAATGAGACAAACTGGTAGGACAGTTTCAATAATTAAGCCAAACTGGTAGGACAGTTTCAATAATTAACACATTGCATACATTCTTCTTAGTGGTTAATTGCTGTACAAGTTGCAGACATGATGTCCTATTTACAAACACTATTAGAACAAATCCCTCTATTCATTAAGAGAATGTAACTGTATATCGATCCTAGCCATTTGAATACACAGACACAAAATGGACATTCATCTGCACCCCCTTTTTGTTAAGTTCCGTTATTTGAATATTATAGGTGTGTAAACTCAGCAAAATATTCTAAAAGAGTCCAGTAGCCCATAATAGCATTGGGTCTT